GTGTGAGCCACTGGTCCCTTGAATCCACTTATGAGGGCTGCAGACTAGCTGAAGCTAAGAAACCATAAAATCCATATGCTGGACACTCTAACTTATACCCACCCTATAGTTCAACGGTGTACAGCCAATCCGTGATCAACATTATCTCTGTACGCCTGTGAGAATTCTTGGTGAAACTTTGTATCATTGTATCAGCCCACTTCTTGTTCCCTTTGCTTTTAAAAACCTGCTTGCAACAAAGGCTGAGGAAATGCTCCCCAAGGGAACTCCCTGAGGTATCTTAGAAGTATCCTAGCCCACTATCCTTGTCTTGGCTCATGTAAACGCTTTATATTTTGTGCCACAACCTCTTCTTTTTACATCGACATAATGTAGAAAAAAAAATAAATTGAAAGAGCCTATAAGTTGTTGAGTGTTTTACCCCTAGGACTTTTGTTAAGGTTTACTAACGTGTTATTTCTAGGAAAGATATAGAAGAAGTTGAAGAGAAATCTAAAGACGTTATAAACTTTACTGCCGAGAAACTTTCAGTAGATGAAGTCTCACAGTTGGTGATTTCTCCGCTCTGTGGTGCAGTATCTCTATTTGTAGGTGAGTGTTAATTTTCATTGCATCTATCACTGCACAAGACAATAGAAATTGCCATGTGCTTTCCATGTTCAGTGTTAACAGAAGAGTTTGAAATACTGAACTTTAAACCAAGATTACCCATGATGGTGGGTAGACTTTTTTTGTAGTTCTTGTTTTGTTTTAGTAACCTTCAAATTAACCTATATTAAATTACAAGGCATTTTGAAAAGTAGGATGAAAGTCATTGTTAGGAGAGAGAATTCTAGATTTTCCAAAATTGAAGGTAAAAATGTACTTGATAGTCCTGGGAACATAAATATTTTCCTTTTAAGTATCTGTTAGTCAGAAGAGGAATATTGCCTGCTTTGCCAGGTGAGTGTTTTTAATAAGCTTGATTAATCAGTGCTGTTTTATTTCCTTATCATCTTTGTGATTATCTGTTTTATTTTCCTAATCAAATTTGGTTTTTAGAAGATTTCAAAGTAGTTTTAGAAGAATTGGTATGCTGCTTGTTTACTATTAAAAATAATCCTTTTTTATTAACATACTATTTCTTTTGTAGGGAAAAACCTTATTTTAATTGTTTTCTTTTTCTTTCTATTTTTTTATTTTTAAAGGGACTACGAGAAATAACTTTGAAGGGAAGAAAGTCATTAGCTTAGAATATGAAGCGTATCTACCCATGGCGAAAAACGAAGTCAAAAAGATTTGTAGTGACATTAGGCAGAAATGGCCAGTCAAACACATAGCAGTGTTCCATAGACTTGGGTATGATTTCCTTTATCAATTTAAAAGTTAAGTATAGTTGTTTTCCATCTTTGTACTAACTCTGATTCTTGAATCTTTCTTAGGAATTCTGTATTACTATGACAGGAACATTCATGTATTATTTTTGGAGGACAATAGGGATGGCTGTTAGTACCTCTAGTGACTGCCTGGTGGGTTTTGATATTGGGAGAGCTCTTGTTGCCTCTGTTGCTATAACAAAGTGCACCTATGCCAAGACTTTCAGGCCCTTGGCCTACGGGCCTGTGCTAATGTGTGCTAAAGGCCTTGAGGCCTTTTGAGAGTTGTTTTGTGGTCTGGAGTCTGTTTATATGACAATCTGTGACAGATTCTTTTTGATATAAATGCCTCTGAAAGTCATTAAAGTGGTTTACCTTTTTGTTCCCCTAAAGAATTCTTGGCTTTAAAAAGAAGCCAGTAATTGAGACTTTATCTGTCATACTCTATTAGTTACTAGTTTGTTATTAATAACCAGTAGTTTTATTAATGGTTAATATTATCACTCCTATTATTTGATATTTATTATTTTAAATTTTGTATTATACTCATTAGGACATAACTTTGTATCTCTAGGCATTACCTGGCACTGTGCCTTGTTTGTTTGAGTCAGGCGTTTGCTGTATCAGTGAAAGGATTTCCCTTGGTGCCCGTCAGAAGTGTTTAGTGGATAGAGTCTAACAAATTAGCTGTAGCATCAGCTTCATCTGCTGCCTCTACGGAATGCTACTGCGATGAACTACTCTTTTCTAACTGGATGTTTACGTAAAATAGAACTACCATATAATTCTAAGACTGCATACCTGGATTTTTTTTTTTTTTTTTCCTCATCTATCCAGCAGATTTTTTAACACATAGATTCAGAGGTGATAGTGATTTTTTCTCTTCATCTTGTTAAAGCTTGGTTCCAGTGTCAGAAGCAAGCATAATCATTGCTGTGTCCTCAGCCCACAGAGCTGCATCTCTTGAAGCTGTGAGCTATGCCATTGATACTTTAAAAGCCAAGGTGCCCATATGGAAAAAGGTAAGTTAAGAAAATAATACATTTTACCATGTGGGCCTGATTTCTCTCAGGAATTTTTAGATAAAACCCCCCATATTCATGGACTTTTTACTAACTGTAGTATCTTGTTTTCTTTATCTGTGAAATATCTTCTTTCCAAGATTTGTTAAGCATGAAAAATATGTGCCCCAAAGAATGCATGGCACAAAGTAAGCCTCAACAAGTTGTTAACAGTGAGAATTCCTAGTCTGGACTGTTGGAGAGGTTAATATATGAAGTTATTTCTCTTGGATTGTAATTCCCTTGAATTAGAGGATCTTTCTGTTGGAGAGTGAGAATAATGCATTAGCTATTTAGGTGGTGGCTAAAATAGAAATTCCTTAAGGTGAAAGAGGCTTTTCCTAAAGGTCCTTTTTAGGAAAAAAAAAAAAAAAATTGGTGAGATATTGCTCCCTGTGAGAAAATGCACAGTGAGTGGGTTTAAAAACAGAAATAGGAACTTCTGGCATGTTTTCTGTCAATAAGGGCAAGTAATTCTCTGGTTAAATAGAGCATTCTGACGGGATGAAAAGGCCCAACTCCCTCGTTTCTCCTCTGGTGTAGTAACATTTAACAGTGGGATTGTTCTGTGGTTGCACATTCAATGTCTAGAATTGTCTAGAATTGCCTTCAGCATTGTGGCTGACAGCAGAGCGGAAGAGTTAATGAACAGCTCAGTAGATCAAAAGACCAGAGCAGAGAGCCAAGGCGTTTAAAGGGCACTTCTCCCCACCTTCTCAGGGGACCTGCCTCAGTCAGTGGTAGAAATAAGCAAGTTAGACTCATAACCTGGGCCTGAGAAATTTGGTGACCATGTTTTCAGAATAAAATTGAAGCCCATTGTTGTAAGAGAATACATAGGGATTAGAGGATAAAATATGTGAAAAGAAACTTAGTGAAGCTCAGATGTATTGTTCCCTTGCTATCAACAAGGCTGACACAATTTTGACAGAACAGGAGGCAGACCCCCAGAGAGGGAGAGGTAGGAAGAGCATTCTAAGATCTGCTGCAAGCCTGAGAGGCAGGGGTAGCTTTCTTTACCAGGGAGGAAAGGGTGCACAGTCAGTGGACAGAAAGTAGATGGGAGCAACCCCAGAAATACAGGTAATGAGCAGGAGTTGGGGCATATTCTTGTTTTCATGCTTTGAGGACTAGCTGGGCTTCGTATTTTGCTTTTGTTTGTCGATAGAGAGTCGGACGAAGTGCAGGAGTTCAGAGAACCGTTGAATTTGAATTCCTCTCCCCACAGAAATGGAATGTGACTAGAGAGTGAGAAGAAAAAGTGATATGTTTTTCTTACCCCTTCTTTCTACAAACTATGTAACTTCTAGTCTGGTTCTAGTCTTGGCCTGTGCTTTGAGATCATCTGTGATATAGGGAAGGGTGGCAGGTAGGTAGAGTGCATATGTCACAGAACAACTCGTACCAGAGTGCAGCTCAAACTAGTTTAAGACCTTGTGAGAGGTGATGACATCATTTAACAGCTAATGAAGATATTTGCCTTTGGAAAAGCATATTTAGAAATGTTGAAGTAGTAGGTGTGTTTGGAAAGAAAAAAAATGTTTGAAACTAAAGACTTTCTATGTATCTTCCCCTATGTAACCTTCTATCTTCCCCTATGTAACCTTGCCCATGATGTCTCTCATCATGACCCCAAATAGAATTAATTGTTTATTTCCTGCTGTGGTTGTACCCTGTTTTGCTATAGCTTCTTGTCTCTTATTTTTGCAGTTGTGTTGAGAGTCCTTAAATGTAGAGAACATGTCTATTCATTTTTCTGCTCTCAGTGCCTTATACAAATGTCTAATGGATTGTTGAAAGAGGAGCCATTGAAATAGATGTGATATTCGTTTGCCTGATTTATTCAAATGTATTTTATATTCATATATTAGAATGGTCTATTTTTAATACCTGTTATGATTTTGTGTTTTAGGAAATTTATGAAGAGTCATCATCTTGGAAAGGAAACAAAGAGTGCTTTTGGGTATCCAACAATTAATCACTTAGTTTTTAGAGCCTGCAATCTTAACTTTGTTAAACTATGATCATTGATCACATTTTGATTTTTTTCTCTCCACATTAGGATAGTTTCTGAAGCACAGTCTCTTATGTTATACTAGTGGGACAAAAGGAAGAAAAAGGAAGCAAGATAAATGGATATGTAGGATGAAGGGTTACTTAAAATGGAACTAAAGATAGAAGGAGGACTGTAGGAAAGAAATGGAATAATTTAAAAACGAGGAAAGATGTCTGTGGTAGACATGTCCTTCCATGACTAATTTCTAATTGTAACTCAAACTCACATTGAGGTATGGGCCCTCCTCAGTGACTTTAACTGACTCAGAAAGATACTCCCCCACCAGCCCCACCTCACCACCGCCGTCCGGGTTCAGGGAGAGCGTTATTATCAAGGATGCATGACAGGAATGTTGGCAGAACTGGAAAGTATTAAAAAATCATTATCAGACAGTCTTGATATATATTTTCAGAAATATATTAAAAATAATAAACTAAAACCGATTTCAAAAGTTTAAAAATAGTATTTTCTTTTTTTAAAAATTGCCTAAAATAGTTCTTACTATGGAGCTTTCTGGGATTTTAGAATCTATAATCTTACCAGAAAACTTTGTTTTTATTAGTTGTTAATTTTGTATCGATATACAAATCAGGACAAAATTGTCATAAATACCTGTTATGATTTTGTGTTTTAGGAAATTTACGTGGTTTGTGTTAAAATGTTTAGGTAAACAATGCCCTAATTTTTAGTTGGTTAAGTTTTATAGTATTTTGATAGACTTGTATATATAAGTCCCATATATTTCTTAAATTTTTTTTCCAGCTTTATTGAGGTATACTTGACAAAAATGGTATATATTTAAAGTATACAATATGATGTTTTGATACACATATACATTGTGAGGTGATTACCACAATCCAGCTAATTAACATATTCCTCACCTCACGTAGTCCCTTCTTTTGTGTGGTGAGAATATTTAAGATCTACTCTCAGCAAATTTCAAGTAAACATATAGCTCATAAAATAATAAAATACTTGCACAATTTGGGCAGTTGTCATCATCACAAAATTTGCATTATGCATATTAAGAACAAAAGGTATACTTTCAGACACTTAGATTGAAGGATTTTTTTCTTATGTTTGGGCAAATAAGAAACCTAGTAATCCTATTTGTCATATCTAGTGAAAACATCTTTTACCTAAGGAATCCATTTATTCAACAAATATTCATTGAATGACTATTTTGTGCCAGGCACCCACCCAGTGATCTTTTTCTACCAACCTAAAATACCTCGGGGAACACTCTGCATCTTATCTGTGGCTGGGACCCACAGGACAGCCACACTGACTTTAGGAATCACCTGGTTACATCAGTTGATGCTTATTTCTGGAGAGATTGGTCCAGAAGGATACTGGAAGGGCAGACAAACCCTTCGCCTACTTCCTCTGCCGGGTTTGGGTTGCCTGTTTCCTCTGCCGGGTTCGGTTCAGCCTTACCCTCTCAGTTCAGTGCCACTCTGTGCTTGCCATCGAGCTTCAGCCTGTCCCCATTGGAGAGCAGGGGTGGGTGGTGGCTGTTGATTATATCTGAAAGCACATTATCATGGGGTTACTGGGTCACTGTAGATATTTCTAGGATTTTGTACATAGGTTGTTAAATGGATGTTTATTTTGTCATATGCAGTGTTGATAGGTATATGTGGATTTCAAGATTTTCTTACTTAAATATTTCTGTAGAAGTTCCTTATGTTTTTAAAGAACATAGAACATTCTTTATATTTTAAAAGAATCATGCCTTCAGTAAGTAGGCTTTATTCTAAGTTTGGAACTGAGACTGTTATGCTTTTAAAGTCTACAATAGAGAGGTTAAGGAGTTAACCTGGGGCATGCCAGAACTGGGATGGAATGGCCTTGAAAGATTTTAGTGCATTGCACTTGACTTAGATAGGATCTTTCCTGACCCTTGCTTACTTAGGAATGGCAGAGTTAATTGGTGATTCAGGTATTAAGGGGCTACTATCACTCTGATATGTAGCTTTTCCATCTCTGTAACTTGTCTTCAAGTAACTGGAAGAGTAATATATATTAAAAAAATAGCCTTTAATCAGATTGCCTGCAGTGTTTCATGGTCACTTTAAAGCCATGACTTTGCATGATTGCTAGGTAAATTCACTCAAGAAATAGGAAATACAAATTCTTTATGTTTCAAGTGTTTTTGAACAAGTGGTAAAATGAAATTGATTTTTATCATGTTTAAATGAAAGTAACAGCAGATATTCAATGAGTGACTTATTTTGTGGATATTTTTGTCCTTTGGATATGATGTATAGAGCCACAATATATTTTCATCTTTTTTGAGAAATTAGTGATTTAGACATCTTACATAGTTACTGAGCACCTGGTACAGTAAAGAGCTCTCTTAAGAATGATTTGTGTGATGTAGTTAGGTGGACCATCCAGCAGAGGGCGGTAGAGCCAGGGCCATAGTAAAAGTTACAGTAAAGTTGCGTTTAGCAACTTGAGTCTTAGATTTAATTTTGCATAGAATCAAAAGTTCAGTTTAGTAGCCATTTTCTTTAAAGTCAGGCTGTAGTGGTTCCTAAATGAAAATTAGGCCCTGATTTTGTGTAAGATGATGTCCAATCTTTGACACTTTAAAAATATTAAAAGATGATGATGAGGAAGGAGTTTTTAAAAATGCAATTTGTAGTTTTTAACAAGTAATGTAGAATAAATAAAAGTACTTTTTAAAAAGTAAGTGTACAATTATTTTCCAGTTAATTCTATGGGACAAAATGATTGCTTTAATACAGGTCTTTTGACAGCATTTCCTAACCTGCTCTGTGAAAAAGAAATAAAATGTAGTGCTCTTTTTCTGTAACATTTTATTTTTTTAAGAGATGGCAGAGGGGGAGTCTCATTATGTTGCTGGCCTTGAACTCCTGGGTTCAAAGGATCCTCCCTGCCTCAGCCTCCCAAGTAGCTGCAATTCCCACACTCAGCTCTCCAAGATTGTATTTGAATGTGAGAGATACAGCAGATGCACTTATTGACGGTTGTGCTGCAGTGAACTGCCCTCCTGAGACGGCTCAACACAACTGCGATGGGCAGGGAGGCCTGTGAGACAGCACTGCAGACATGAATGGAGATGCTGGTGCATCACTATTTATGGCAGCACACACTCACTTTCCACCCCATCTTTGCATTACTCTGCCATCTGT